TAGTTTCCTAGCACTCGTGATTATTGCTTCAAATCTGTCCTCCAAGTTGACGCTGGTCCTTTTTTCTCGGCTGTAATCGCCTTACCTTTTCCAAAGTCCATCTGTTATGAATTTTATATGAGTCTTTGTGGACCATGAATCGATTTGGTCGGTTGCTACTTTCTATTTTGAGGTTCAATTTCAAGTGTTCTGGCTTTTGGGTGTTATGTTTGTCACCGTTTTGTACTGTAATTCTAAAACCACATTCTTTGAAAGTCTTGATCTATTTACATTTTACATTTTCTGTTTTGGTTAAATCGCTTGTCTTTTCTGTTGGTGTCTTCTCCATCTTGAGTATTTTCTGTTTCTTTTCTGTGAAGGACCATGCATTTCATTTCATTTAGGGAGATTTGAATCATGACAATCAGTACTTCTACATATGGGCCACGCCCGCAGTCCTTTGCAATGGACGATTCAGGAGAGCGATACTACATAGGTAAGTAAGCCAAGTCCCATTAGACTGCACTTTGTTTTCCTTTGACCCACTGATCGTGCCATTGAAGAAGGTAGAGAAAGTGTAACTTAGTCGATGTTAATAAAAGCATGTAGAGTTGGTCAGTCTTTCTAGTTTTTATCGATCGGGGACACTACCCACAGTTCTTAATTTTAGCTTTGAAGTGCCCAAAGCTGAGACCAAATAACGAATCGTTGAGGGCAGTGGCTCGAGGAGATTGCGACTGCGCGTTCTTCATTTCTTGGCTTTCTGGATGCACTAAGTCCAGTATTGTGCTTGAAACCTCATCTGTAGAAGAAGGTTTCTACAAGCACAGCCCTGAACTCAGCGCATCGGGAAGGCAAGTATAGAAGAAGTTCGTAGTCGCAATTTTTCGAGCCTTTAAAGGTCCACATGACACGAAATTTCAATTTTCAAGCTGTGGATTAGGACAGGAGGCCTAAGATCTGCATTTTCAGGGTCCGAAATTGGTGCCTACCTAAGATTACACCGCGGTACGCTATACAAGAAATATCCTGTGCTATGGCGAAAAGTGGCTACGCAAGAGGACAAAGAAAAGCTCCGTCAGATTGCGCTTTCACAAGCTTTCATGCACACCAATATCATGTGGGTTATTAGTCCTATTTTGATGACAGTTTTGATACTTATACCAGTCTATGATTCCAGGTTGGTGAAAGCGCATGAAATCGACGAGTTATTGGCAGGCCAAGAGGAAAAGTATCGGGCCGCGGGATCAACTCCATCGATTCCTAGAGTGGACTCGGGACTTTCCAAAAGTAATAAGCCAAACGTACCGGCTGGATGGATGGGACAGCAGGTTTGTGAGTCATATGAGTTCTGATTTGTTAAGAAGGGAAGGAGAAAGAAAAGTATGCGATGTTAGCAGAGAAGATGATTCTTCGTAATATTCACACTGGTATAATCTGAAATTAGACAATCAACTTTTTGCCACTCTCTATTTTGAAAGGGAACATCGGTAAGCCTAGTTAGGCAATGGACACTTTTACTGATTCATGTGCAGTTTGTATGTGCTTGATTTGCAAGTCATTCTTCGCAGCGTCAGAAATTAAATTTGCTATACTAATTTGTATCTCATTACTTGGCTAGAGATCACTGCGTCGGTGCCCAGGACTGAATTTGCAACATCTAGTGGACTAATAATAGAGCACAATTATGAGCGCGAGCATGTTTGGTCTTTCCGCGAATTGGCATCGGATTGTGATGACTGGAAAGGGAAATTGCTTAGTTATTTGTTCTGCAAAATGATAAGTTTTTTAGTAAGCAAATTCTATGTTCTCTCTTCAGTGTATCTGGGCATTTGCTATCGATGTATACATGTGATGTTTATGCCAAATTCAGGTTGTTACAGTGGTATCTTTATTGGCTTTACGTTTTGACTATGTCGTCTTCATCGGGAGTCTCAGATCCACTGCGGTGTTAGTAGAAAGTTGGTGGCCGCACAGCAGTAGCGCACGAAACTGTGTGCAGCTATTAACTTTCACTAACACCGTGGTGGATCTGAGACTCTTGAAGGAGACGACATAGTCGAAATGTAGAGTATAAAGATACCAACGTGACGATCTGGATTTAGCTTAAACATTACATGTATAAGTTTTTCGCTTATTTGTCCAAACCACCATCGCCGTAAATTGGGCCGACCTAGACCGAAACCAAAGTGGCATTGAAACCTTCTCTCAGAAGAATAAATATTTATGAGTGAGATGTGGTCAACATATGTTGCATGATTTCAAGTGTAGTCGATTTTTTTTT